GTATTCAGTCAATTTTCATAAGTTTTTTTTTTTTTTTGTTTATAATTCGTAATTCGTCATAAGACGACGACAACAACAACAACAACAACAACAATAATAATAATAATTTAGATTTGTTTTATTTCGGATTTGACTTATTAAAACTTTTTTTTTTCTTTTTTTTATTTATCATTATTATTATTATTATTAAGTTATTGCTTGAAAGTGCTTTTCGAGAGACAGACAGACAGACAGATAGATAGATTGAAAGAGAGAGAGAGAGAGAGAGAAAAGAGATACGAAAAAAAAAAAATAAATAAATAAATTTCTTTCTTTCTTTCTTTCTTCTTCTTAATTTTTCATTTTTTTTTTTTTTTTATTTCTGTCGTCAATCAAACGACAGGATTTGACAGCGCGACAGACATTATTCCAACTGAATTTTTTAACACTAAACCGTTTTTCAAACGTCAAACAAACAAACAAACACTCCCCGACGAGAAAAAAAAATATATACATATATACATAATACGTAAAAAAAAAACAAAAAAAAAAAAGAAACCGTCCGAAAATAAATAAATAAATAAATAAATATTATTATTATTTCTTTTTCCCCCCACCCCCTCCCAACCATTTACCTTGAACGACAAAGTGATAACATTATCATCATCTACAACCGTAATTACAATTAACGACACGACGTTTATTAAAAAAATAAATAAAACAAACATAAATAAATTCAAAACTACCAACTTACTTGTTAAAAACTATTTAATAATAATAATAATAATATTGGTGAAATTTTTTCATTTTTAATCATTTCCGGTTTTCTTTTTCTTTTTCTTAAATCGATTTTTCACAAACCGTTTTTTTTTTTTTTTTTAAATTTTTTTTAAGTAATCACATGTTGTACAAACATGAAATGATAAAAATAAATATAACCGAAAACTTATTTTTAAAATAATAATAACAATAATAATAATAAACAAACGGATAAATAAATAAATAAATTTTTTTTTCTCGTTTAAATTTCGCGGATACGTTTGTGCGTGCGTGTGTGCGCGACGCGAAGAAAAAAAACCGTTTTTTTTTAATATTTTTTATTTTTTTCTTTTTCTTTTGTTTTTTTTTTTTTTTCTTTTTTCTTCCTTCCTTCTGCACCGAACGTTCGATGTGCTAAGCACATGAATGGGTATAGAAAGAGAGATATTGCCCGGATGCAACGATTTTTAGTGCGGCGTCGCGAAAATTCGTTCCAGCACCGAATAACGTCTAAAAGACACACACACACAAAAAAAGAAAAAGAGCAGAAGGAAAAAAAGCAGGAGAGCGAACGGGTGTACAAAAAAAAAAAAAAAAATTTACGGGATCGCAACAACAACGACAACAACAACAACAAACGAAAAAAAAAAAAATTTTTTTTGTTTTTGTTTATATAAGCAGACGACGTTTGTACAAAATTTTTTTTTTTTTTTTTTTTTTTGAATCGTTAGAAAAATAAATTTAACCTTTTCATAATGGAGATGGAAAAAAATTTAACTCAAGGGTACATTAATCGTCGTCTCTTTTTTCCTTAACCTTCCTCCCCTTTTCTCCTTCCCCTCACCTCCCCCCGAGTCTCCCTCAACGTTCGTAATTAAACAAATTCCTAACTTAAATTCCAAACGCTTAAGGGTTTGAATTAATGGAACGTAATTTATATACATACATACTCGTATATTCGTCGTTTGTTCGTTTGTATTTAATTTTCGCACTTCCTTTCCCCCCCCCCGCGTTTAACCTTTCCTATTTTCTTTTTCCTTCTATCTTCCCCTTGCCCCACCCCTACCACCACCACCACCACCACCTTCCATCTTTCCTAACGCCCACGCAAAACTTTTTCTCTACGAATATTATCTTGTTGTTGTTGTTGTTGTTTTTGTCGTCTGTCATTCAAGCACACGAGCTTCATGTGTGTGTGTGTGTGTGTGTGTGCACCACCTCCCCCCACCCACTTCCACCCAACACGCACGAGATGTCTTCTTTTATCCGCAATTAGTTTTCTCTCATGCGTGCGTGCGTGCGTGTTCGCGTGCGTGTGATAAAATTTTTCTTTCTTTTTTTTTTTTATCAAAAATGTAAAAAAGTTTTATTATTAAAAAGTTTATAAAAGTCGGGAAAATATAAACGTTAAAAATATGATGATAATAATAATAATAATTATTATTATTATTATTTTTAACTATTCAAATTTATTCTTCTCCCGTTTTTTTTTTTTTTTTAACATTTCAATAAGAGATGAGTTTGAGTTGTTTGTTTGTTTTGCAACATTTTTTTTTTTTTCTAGAAAATACCAGGGACTTTTATTTAATTACTTTTTAGTAAAAAAAAAAAAAAAAAAAAAGTTGTTGTTTGTTGTTTGTTGTAAAAAAAAAAAAAAAAAAAAAAAAAAAAAAAAACTTTTTTAAAATCGAAACGAACGCGTTTTGACCAACGAAAACGTTAAACGATGCCAATAAAACAAAAAAAAAAAAAAAAAATTTTTAACGAGAAAAAACGACGTCATTTTAAATTTTCTATCGAAATTGGTGGGGGGGAAGGAGGGACGGGAGGGGAAACCGGAAAATGCAGTTTCATTTAAATAACGACATCCAATTATTATTATTATCATTGTGAAAACCCGTGTAGAAAATGATAAAAGATTTAAAAAAACGGTTCGACTATCGTTTTCGCAACAAAAAAAAAAAAAAAAAACGGAAATCCCTCATTGATGACGTCATTAAAAACGGTTTTTTAAAATTGAAATTATTATTATTATTTAAACCCACGTTCGAATCGTTCGTTATTAACTTACCTTAACTCTATTAACATTCGAACGGTTTTTCTTTTGCCCCCTCCCCCCCATCAATTATAAATAAATGAAAATAAATCGATATACGTTCTCATTTAAAAAAAAAAAAAAAAACATGGCGGCTACGTTTCAACCGTTCAAAAACCGTTACGAAAAAAAAGTTACGTAATTAAAAACAAACAAACAAAAACAAAATGGCGGAAACTATTGACATTTTTCAACTTTTTTGTTTTTTTAATTTCTGATTTCACGTTTGTGTAATAACCGTTTCGAAATTTTTTATCGAAAAAAAAAAAAAAAAAAAAAAATTACACGTTACGTTTTTAAATAATCGATTATGTTTATCGATTTGTCGTGACTTTAACGACAAAAAAAAAAAAAAAAAAAAAACTTTTTTTTTTTTTTTTCATCGTCGTCTTTTGAACGAAAAAAAAAAATTTTTTTATGATAAAAAAAACTTTAAATTATAAACTTTATTTGTTTCGTGATTATTTTCCCCGAGAGAGAAAGAGAGAGAGAGAGAGACGACTTATTATTATTAATTTATTTATTTAAAGTTTTAAACGTGGATTGTTTAAAAAGTTATTTTTTTAAAAAAAAAAAATTCAAATTTTTGTTTATTTACTCTATGATTTCGAACTCGTTTAACGGCCTCGATTTCTTTCCTTTCTTTTGTTTTGATTTTTGCCATCGTTAACCCAGACTCTATGTGACTTTAAATTTTAGAAAAAAAATTTAACGAAAGCAAATCGAAATAATAATAATAATAATAATAATAATAATAATAATAATAATAATAATAATAATAAGATGCGATTGTATAAAATAAAAAAAAATGCGTTCAAAAGACGATTTAAAAAATTCCTTTTATACAAAAAAAAAGAAAAAGTGGAATCATTTTGAAATTGTTTTTTATTATTATTATTATTATTATCATTTCATCGCTTCATCGATATTTTTTTTTATTATGACTTTTCTAAACTAAATAAACCTCCTCACCTCATACGGGGGGAGGGGGGGGAATTTTTAAAAGTTAAAGAAATTTTTTTTTTTTTTTTCCTTTTTCGCTTCACGGGTATTATTATAAATTCAATAGATTTCGATATTCCCGATTACGGATTAGACGAAAACGAAAGAAAGAAAGAAAGAAAGAACAATATTCTAGAAATTTTTTTCATTTCGAATGATGTAAAAAATAAATCCCTTCCCTTCCCCTCCCTCTCCTCCTCCTCCTCTTCCCCTTTTCCTTTTTGTGTGTCTGTTTGTTTGTTTGTTTGTTTTCGACTGCTGTAATAATAATAATAGTAATAATCGTACGAAATTAATAATGTCTTACAAAAGCAAATCTTTCTTATTTAAATAATAATAATAATAATAATTAATCGATATGTTAAATATTTATTATTATTATTATTATTTCTTTCTTTCTTTCATTTTACGAAATTGAATTTTTCCATCCGGATTAAATTCATCCGATTTTCTTCTTTTTGGGAAAATTTTTATTTTCGTCGAGGAAAAAAAAAACGTATGCATAAATATTTTTTCTACTTAACCCTCGCCCACCTCCCCACCCACCCCACTCCCTAATTCTCCCTCCTTCCCCTTTCCCTCCTCTCCTCCCCCCCTTTTTTTTTTTTTAATCAATGAAACGATGTAAAAATTTCAAAATGATTGCAGCAAAAGGTTCGATCGTAAATTGTTGTTTTTTTTTTTTTTTTTTTTTTTTAGAGTTTCCGCCATTTAAAAAAAAAAAAATTTATTATATACTAACCTTGCGTTTTTTTTGTTTTGTTTCCCCCATTTTTTCTTTTTAAATAAATAAACGCCCTTAATTATTTTTCTTTTTTCCTATCGGATTTTGACACTTCTTTCTTATTATTATTATTATTATTAATAAAATCAATACGATATCGTTTCTTTTCTTTTTCTCGATTACAAACGAAAGATTTTCTTAACTGAATGTTTAATAATTATTATTGCCCTGGAAAAATCAAATTTCAAATTAAATAATTTACCTCTCCAAAAAAAAAAAAAATAATAATAATAATAATAAAATATATTTTATAGAGAGTGTAGTATAGTAAAATATAAATTTTTTTTTTTTATTATTATTAATATTAAATATGGCGACTTTGGATTTTATTTTTACCGGAAATCGCATTTCGATTAAAATATATGTATATATGTTCCAGTTTTAAAGCGTCGGAAGATTTCCAACGCCGTCTGCTAATTCGTAAACTGCTTTGGCAACATCCATTGCCAATTTATCAGCTTCCAGCTGAGTGGAAGCTTCTGAATAAATACGAACGACTTTTTCAGTTCCAGAAGGTCTGTGTTGGAAAAAAAATAAACAAATAAATAATTTTTTTTTTATGACGTCATGTATGTTTTACAAAATTTTAAAATTGAGTACCTGATAAATGATCGGCCATTATTCACGTTGGCAACAAGTTCGTTTATTTTATTTTGTAATTCGCCAGGATGCAAGCAAACCTGTTCGGTGTAATCCGTTTTTATGGCAGTGTTGTCCTACAAAAAAAAAAAAAAAAAAAAAATTATGCGTGTGTACGTTTACTCAAACCTTTCGAAGACGAATTAAAACCTAATACCTTAACGGCAACTTTGAGCAATCTGTTGGGCAAATCCGTGTATGTTTTTTCCCAATCTTGCAAATTCCAACCTTTAGCCTTGAGTACAGTTTCTACTAATAAAGCATCGGAAAGAGCATCTCCCACCGTTTGATTAGTCAATTCGATCAAAGCCAAAAGTCTGGAAGCGCTAGTTTTCTCTTCTGGGAAAATAAAATAATAATGATAAATAATAATTAATCAATTGGGAAAAATACCTCATACGCTTTTATAAATTACCTTGGGATGATGTCGAAGAATTAACTTTGTTTCGAATTTTATCTTCTGCTGTTTTTTTAAATAAAACACTTCCATGACCGTTTGCTTCGAAATAAACTCCTACGTCATATTCAAGTGCTTTGTGATGTAAATGTTTAACACCTGTTGGACAACAAGCAACAGGAATTTTCTGTAAAGATAAAAAGAAAATTTCAAGAAATTAAAGATGCGAATGATAAAGAATGTGAGAAAAGAAAAGAAAAAAAAAAGGAAAAAATTTGAAAAACTCGCCAGAGTATTTTTAACGTAATTTGTAGAACTTCCATTGGCATAAGCCGTTTGAACTAATCCTAAATTAATATCAACATTTGCTTTTCTTATCAATTCAATTAAATAATCCGCCAACAAGGTTGCTATTTTATCACCGTCTAGTAAATGAAATACTTTCGAATCATCTATATAATAATAAACCAAACGATCCGCATCACCATCGAATGCTAAACACCTTGCATTGATTTCAACTGGAACTCCTTCTGGAGCCTTTTTGTGAACCTGATTAAAACATCATTTCGTTTTAACAATCAAAAACATTTTGGATTTGATTAAACTCGAATTTAAAAAAAAAATTTATAAATAAAATTACTTTTATGTAATCAGCTCCACATTTATCATTTAATTTTCCATTTCCACTGTTGTACACTTTTATATTTAAAAGATTTTCCAATTCGGATTTGATTTCGTTAACTTTCAATGCTCCCACACCATTTGCACCATCTAATAAAACAAATGGTTTGTAGTTTTTACAACCCCCCTGCAATATTAAATTAAAAAATTTTGTTTTTTTTCAGTTAAATTATTTTATAAATATATAAGATTTAATATTATTTAAAAAAAAAAAAAATATTATTCTCACATGATTGTAATCGTTTAAGATTTTGAATGATTTAACAAGTTTTGAATTGTAATCATCCACCACAGGTTCTTTTCCACCTTCGAATGTATTTTTACAAAATACCATATAGTGTAAAAAAGGTGTTGTAACAATTCCATAATCTTTAAACTGTCCATTCATCGATTTTATACCATCAATGGCTAGTTCAGATAATTTTGGACTACTCGATCTGCAGAAAAAATATTTTTTTTACATTATCATTATTTATTTTTACTTAATTGTAGGTGATAAACATAAAAAAGTTAGTTTTTTACCTTGTGTCTCTTCCAAGCAACACTAAACCAGGTTTAGTCATATCAATATTTTGACTTTCGACAATTTGTTCAATCACTTTGCTAAGATTGCTATCATCGCAATTAGCCAATGTTGTCGCTAATTCTTCCCATGATTGTTCTAACATTTCACCTTGTGGATCGATGAGTTTAACACCATTATCACATTCAGGATTATGTGAAGCTGTTATCATCAAACCAATTGCTTGTCCATTTTTCTTTTTTGACCTTAAAACAGCTAATATACCAACTCTGGATAATACTGTATCTAAATTTTCCGCTCTGTAAAAAAATAATGATTCAATTTACTTAGAAATCATTTTTATCAAAGTTTGAATTTTTTCTTTTTTTTTTTGACAAATACTCTTTAGTTATAATGTAAATTCTATCTGGAAAAAGTTTTCGCAATCAGTACTAACGTAAAAAATTTATTGGAATCAAATGAAAGTTAAAATATTTCATTAAAAAAAAAAAAAAAAAATTTAAATAAAAATGTCGATAAAGTTTAATAAAGGATATAGTTTAGTAGCAAACGATTTTAATAAATCTTATTGAAAAAAAAAAAGAAAAAAAAATCACCTGTCTCTAAATCCAGCAGTTCCATATCTTATTAAAGACTCCATAATTTACAAAAAACAATTAACGAAAATTCAATACTTGAATTATGACGCGACTGATTGACCTTTCACTCTTTTGTAACATTTTAACGCTCCACTTTCATTTGAAAATTTTTTTAACGTTTAACTTTGGTGCTCAAATGTTGTGATAAAAAACAATCATAATCCGGATATAATCTTGATGAAAGCGCCTAATCATCTAATTAGTAGTTCATTCGTAGTGAATTATTCATCAATCAAAATCATCCTCCATTTTGTTTTGCTTTCGTCAATAGTGATTCATTTTAATGGTACCGCAAAATGGTACATTCCGTATTAAGAACATGTTAGTTGACTCGGATCCGACAAATTTGCTATAAAAAATTGGTACTCGTTTATTTTTCTCATTTTTTTTTTTTTAATATTAAATATCATTCGTACTTTAATTTTTTTTTAATTTTATTAAAATTCAATCGTTTTACATTTAATTTGACATTTGAAAACAAAATATCTACGGGCAAATAACTAATCGACCGTGAACGATGTAATTATTAATTAAATATTTTTATATTTCGTTAAATGTCAAAATTAATTTTAAATACCAAATGAAAGAGAATTTTCAAAAAAAAAAACAAATGAAATATTTTTGAAAGTTCATTCATACTTTTTGAAAATTTACTTGTTTAATAATTACTATTAAAAAATTTTTAATTAGTTATGAAAGTCGTGAACTTTCTACGGTAATGGATACTTGGGAAAATATTTAGAAAGAAATTTAAAAAAAAAAAAAAAAAAAATGAATGTTCATTAATTTAAGTGTGTTATCTATTATTAATTTTCATTTATTTGATTTGAAATTTTACATAAAATCATTTTTATCAAACATTTGGTATTATTATTATTATTTTTTCAAAGTTTAAAGTTAAAGTTTTTTATTTAAGGTTACAAAAAAAAAATCCCATAAATATTTTTAAATTAATTACTACTCATTGATCTAATTAAAATTTAATTTTTAGGTTCATATAACATGGATTACTCATTTGTAAGTTGAAAAATAAAAAAAAAAAGAAAGAAAGAAAGATAAAAAACAAAAAACAAAATGAATCTTTTTAAAAAAGGGGCCATTTTTTTAACATTTTTCGGATCATGTTTAGCTGTAGGTTTAATTGTGGCTGCTCTAGGAACAAAATGGTAATTTATTAATTTTTTTCAAATAAATTATTTAATTTAGAGTAAATAATTATTTTATTTTATTATGGGTGTAGGTGGGTTGTTGCAAAAGCTAAAAGACTGTCAAATCCGGATGAATCAGATGGAAAAATAAATTTAGGTTTATTCGAAGGTGAAAAAAAATTAAATGTCAAATATGGTTGGAGAGAATATATGGTTCATGTGACACAATTGGCTCACACAGAAAGAGAATTTCTTTTGTATGGAGCTTGGATAGCAACAATCGCATGCCTGGTCATCGGTTTGCTCTTTTCCACACTTTGTGCTATTTTTGCCGTTTTGAATACGGCAACCAATCAATATTTAGCTTTATTGGGTGTACCTGGACTGTACGTTTGGAATTTACTCGCCGGTAAATAAAAAATCGATATGCATAACAATTAAAATTTTTCAAGTTATTAAAGTGCTTTTCCCCTCCCCCTCCCCCTTTCAGCATCTTTTCACAGTTTTGCCGTCATATTGTGGGTAGTTCAATTTGTACAAAAATTACAATTTAACGTTATGTCAAGAGAAGATATAAACAATAGATGGACATCACAAGATATGGCTTATTTAGGATATTCATTTTGGTTTGTATATTTTTGATTATTTATTTATAATCGAAAACTTTTTAACACATTTTCCCCCCCCCCCTCCTCAAATAGGTTCGTCGTGGGTGCGATATTCGTTCATTTAGCCAACGTTTTATCCGTGTGTATTGGAACAAGAGATTCGAAACAAAATAAAAATTCAATGCCAATGGTAGAAGAGAAAACGGGAGGAGCCATTATGTTATATTAACTTTATTATTATTATTATTATTATTATTATTATTATTATTATTATTATTATTATTATTATTATTATTATTTAATTAAATTTTTTCCACGTGAAAGTGAGAAAAGAAAAAAAAAATTCACTCGTAATTACGTATTGTTATGTATAATTTTTTTAACAATCTGAATAATAATGATAATAATGATAATGATATTATTACTTTCAGATAATGATAACAGTATTACTAATCAATTTTATATGTATCGAACGATTGATATTATTATTATTAATAATCCGTCCATGTTTTTTTTAATTTTTTTTTTTTGTATTTTTATAATTTTATAATAAATTTTTTTTTGTATTTTAATAAAAAATTTCTTTTTTTAACCCCCCACCCACCCACCCCTTTAATTTTTTTTCAAATAAAGGTCGTGACCTCGTAATCGCGGAATTTCGACGTTTAAAGGCATTATTATTATTATCATTATTATTACTTTTCATTTCGGGTAAAATTTTTATTTTTAAAAACGTCCATGACGTAATCATTTCATATTTTTTATAATAATAATGATAATAAATTTTACCCTTCGGTGCTTTCTCTCTCTCTCTCTCTCTCATACGTAATTTTTAAACAAAAGGAAATTATTTTGTTTTAAACAAACAAATAAACAAACAAACGAATTCATTTTTACTTTTTATTATTATTATATATTTCGTTCCCGTTTTTTTTTTTTTTTTTTTTTTTGAAAACAACGCATCTTATTATTATTATTAATTATTCAACTTTTTTTTTTTTTAAATTACATAAAAATAATTTTTTAACAATGATTATTATTATTATTATTTTTACTTTCACATTCAATGAAAATTTTTTCTTTTTTTTTTTTTTTTTTTGTTTTAAATCTGAGAAAATAAAAAAAATAGAAAAAATTTTTACACAAATAATAAAACAACGATCGATCCCGACACAAATCATTTATTTCCCTTAAAAAATTAATACCGTTATTATTATTTATTATTTTTACAATCATTATTATTATTATTGATATTTACATAATTACAACGCGTATAATTGTTTCTTTTTTTTTTTCTCAAAAAAGTAAAACGTTAAAATTTTTGGCCTGACAAAATAAATCAAAATTTGTTTCCCGTCCACAAATTTCATTCCTTCGAAAAAGTGGAAAAACGGAAATGAACCGAAACGACCATTTTTTTCTTATTGGGGAGTCATTTCCTTCGAAGACTAGATGATGTACATCACACACACACACACACATACGATATATATAATGTCTACACGTTTAAATCGAGGCGGGGAAGGGGGTGCGTGATGGGGTAGTAATCGCTCCTCCTTCACTCACTGGCAACATTTTCAAAGGAAATTTACCGTCAAAGAGCACCGTTTTGCTTACGGTGAAGATGAAAGTGAGTTTATCAGATAGGGTGGGGGGACGTGAGGACGGAGCCCTGTCCTTTCGGCTCACGCAGATACTAACAGGACGCGGTGTCTTTGGCTCGTACCTTGCGCGCATCGGCAGAGAGGAAGCAACGGAGTGTTGGTTCTGCCGTGCGCTTGAGGACGATGTCGGACACACGTTGTCGGAGTGCCCAAGATAGGCCCAAGACAGGCGACGCCCCATTCAGGTTATTGAAGGAAGGGGGCGGGAACCTGACCGTCAGGGGATTGGCGGGGATTGGGTCTCCTATGCGGTTCCAGGAAATGGTCCACCATTATTTCTATTACTACAGAAAGTTAAATGAAATAACAGTAGGAGAGAAATTCCCCATTCCCAATATCGAGAAAATTCTAGATCAATTAGGACATTCAAAATATTTCACCACACTTGATTCGAGCATCAGGTTTTCACCAAATCCCTGTGAAAAAGGCTGACCAACTCAAGACGTCTTTCTCTACTCCTCTAGGACATTATGAATTTACCCGAATGCCGTTTGGCCTAAAAAATGCACCCTCTACTTTCCAAAGACTAATATTGAACACCGTTTTAACAGGATTGCAAGGTTTACAGTGTTTCGTGTACCTTGACGACATAGTCATTCATGCTAGTGTTGTGATCCCAACGAAATCTGACCTTCAACGAGGGCATCTATTTAAAGTTTATAGTATTTATTTTATTATGGATATTTATTATTAGTCTATCTAATCGCTTGAGGAATTTTTATGAGAGTATTTGTTTGTTGTTTATGAACGTGACATAATAAAAAACGCGGACCTTTGGAACACTTTCTCTTCATTAATTCAGAAGAGCGTACAAAGACCGTAATCATCCCTTATGAAAGGAGATGATAGATTTATTGGGGCAATTCAAGGGTTACAGACGCATCGATTGTTTTGGTCATCATATAAATAGTGGGCCTCAACGCCACAGGACTCACTAGAGTTTCGTCTGTCAATCAAGCTCGACGTTGTTGTTCTACAGAGCATCTACATTATTGGACTTAGTAGCATAGTTATTGTATTTCACTTATATTATATTTAGTAGTTAAGTGATAAGTAAATTTTCATCGGTTTCTCCTGATATCTTAGAGTTCAACTTGTGTCTAGGTCTAGTTTTGTGATTGTGTTTACAACTAGTAGTGTTCATAACATTATTTTAGTGACTAATTTGTTCTGTACATGTAACATGATGTAAAATGTTCTTCTGTTGCTTACAATCAATATAATTCTTCTTTCGTTAAAAGTGTGTTCGATTTCAATCTTGAATAATACCACGAACGCGGAGGAAGATCAACGTTGTGAATCGATAATCGAATCGGGCCACGACATATTTATGGCGCAGTCGGTAGGATATTTCTGAACAACAGGAAATCAGAAGGATTTAAAGTAATTCTTTTCGTGTTGTTGGGTTTCAACTCTTTATCAGAAATTCTTTTTGTATTGTAAGTAAGTACAGATAGTTACTCATTTTTGTTGTGAACAATGCCTAGAACTGGTCAACCTGTTTTCAATCCATCCCAAATATCCCTTGATTTCTTGTGTAGTCTAGTTCCTAATTTCTTTTCCGGAGAAAGGAACCAACTTGATGCATTTATCTCTGATTGTGATAATGCTTTTGAACTGTCCTCTGAAGAGAATAAGTACCCACTCTTCAGATTCATCTACTCCAGAATCACTGGTAAAGCCAGGGATCGAATTTCTGTGTACCATTTCGATAATTGGGATGATGTAAAAACAAAACTAATAGAATTATACCAAGATAAGAAACCCCATAGTCAACTGATAGAGGAGTTGACGAATTGCAAACAGGAATCACATGAATCAATTGCAGAATTTTTCGAGAGATTGGGAAATCTAACAAGTCAAATCATATCAAGTCTAAAAACAGACATTAAAGAAGACAAAAAATCTCTTTCTTCAAAAAGTGAATACGTCAATGAAATAACTCTAAATCGTTTCATCTTTCATTCACATCCTAAAATATCCCAGATGTTGAGGTGGAAAAACTTCAATAATCTCAATTCTGCATATTCAGCAGCCATTGCTGAGGAGAAAAATCTACAAATGCTTAAGGAATTTTTATGAGAGTAATTGTTTGTTGTTTATGAACGTGACATAATAAAAAACGCGGACCTTTGGAACACTTTCTCTTCATTAATTCAGAAGAGCGTACAAAGACCGTAATCATCCCTTATGAAAGCAGATAATAGATTTATTGGGGCAATTCAAGGGTTACAGACGCATCGATTGTTTTGGTCATCATATAAATAGTGGGCCTCAACGCCACAGGACTCACTAGAGTTTCGTCTGTCAATCAAGCTCGACGTTGTTGTTCTACAGAGCATCTACATTATTGGACTTAGTAGCATAGTTATTGTATTTCACTTATATTATATTTAGTGTTTAACTGATAAGTAGTGTAATTAGTGGTATATTTGGTTAATATAATACATCAGATAGAAATTGTCTATTTATTATATTGAATATCCAAGCCAACTACGAGTTTACTGCAAGATCAGCAAGACCGACTTCCTCGAAGAACGAGATCCATAACACTAGTTCTATCGAAGAACATGAAACTACAAATTAAAAGCCGCCACCTCTGATAAACTCCGGCAAAACAATCTGAATTTACAACCAGACAAATGCGAATTTCTAAAGAGGGGAAATTGTCTACCTGAGATATATCATGAGCGATGACGGTGTCCCAACCTAATCCTGAAAAGGTGCAAGGCATAACCTCATTCCCTACTCTTAAAAATGTGTCAGAGATATCAAATCCTTCCAAGAACTCGTTGGTTACTATCGAAGATTAATAAAGAATTTCTCACAAATAGCGAAACCCTTGACCTGTCCTCTAAAAAAGGATCAGACTTGTCTCTGGACTGAAAAGGAACAGAAAGCATTTGACTAACAAACCTTAACTCCAATATCCAGACTTCAATAAGGAATTCGTATTAACTAAAGATCCTAGATGAGAATCACGTCTCAAAGTTAGCGGATCACATTTCGGGTTTGCGAAACCTACAAAGATCAA